GGACTAAGTAGCAGAAGAACAAGAACCTGTTTTGCCATATGTGTCTGACATATAACAGGAGCATTGTGGGTAGCTATTGACTGAATACATAAATTAAGATCTAACTTCATGAATTAATGAATGTGCCATTTATCCTGTATACAAGGGACCTGGAGACAACCTAAACCAAGAATCAAAACTATCAAAATAAGGGTGCCGGGGTGGCTCAGTCAGCGCAGCGTCTGCCTTCAGCTCAGGTCATAATCTCAGGGTCTTGGATAGAGCCCCACATCGGGCTCTCTGCTCATCAGGGAGCCTGCTTCTCCCTCTCCCTCTGCTGCTCCCCCTTCTTGTTTTCTTTCTCTCTCTGTCAAATAAATAAGTAAAATCTTTTAAAAAAATTTAAAAAGATCTCAAAATGACCGTACAGGATTCATAGAGCTGATTTCATGGCAGATATAAAAGTTAAGGGGAAAGCCTTTAGATTCACAGCCCTTCATGGTCTTTCCAAAGCCAGCAGCCGATGTTCACCAAGATCTCTCTGATGACCTCACATCTTTATGGAAATGAATTCAGAGAAAGAGACAAATAATATCATATGAACTTACATCTGTCAGGAGATGAGAAAGTAGGGGCACAGTTGTCTTTGCAAGCTATATCTTGTTCCCAGGAAAGAAGCACATTTTTCTGAGATAAGTACTTACCTACAGACACATGAAAAATTACCTTCTAAATCTCCCACATGTTAGGATCATATATGTACACAATAATTTTAATAAGCTTTATGTGTTATATAGCAAAAGCATTAGTAATTTATTTATCTTTTAAAAATTTATTTATTTATTTGAGAGACATCGCAAGTGAGGGGAGAATCTTCAAGCAGACTCCCCACTGAGCACAGAGCCCCATGCAGGGCTCAATCTCACAACCCAGGAGACCACGACCTGAGCCAAAACCAAGAGTTGGTCACTTAACTGACTGAGCCACCCAGGTGCCCCGAGCACTAGTGTTTTAATGTCTGAAATAATACTTTACTTATGCATTATACAGAATAAAATGAGAAACATTTCATATTTTCTCATGTAAAACACCACCACCCTATGTCCTCTGGAGAGTTTGTTTTATTTATTCATTCAACAAACATTTGTTTGAAACTGTTTGTTTGAAATAGTTAGAAACTGGTGGTGCTGCAAGAAAGGCATTGGCCCTCAAAGAAATGACATCGTAATGGAAATAAATAAAACACTGAACACAGAAACAATAATGTAATTTGCAACAACAAGACTACCTAGGACTTAAAGTGAGAAAAGTGACAGAGACTTTAAGGAAGGAGTGTTCCTTGAAAGGGCCTTGAGGGACTGTCTTTCCAAGAAGGTAAGATGTGATCTGACACTGGGTGTTATATGCAACGGATGAATCACTAAATTCTACCCCTGAAACTAATAATACAGTATACATTAATTAAATTGAATTTAAAATTTAAAAAAAAAATGTGAGCTGAGAGATAAATTTTAGGTGGACGTTTTCTATCAGATATATGGAGAAGGAGTTTATAGGACAGGAAACAGCAAGTGTAAAGGCTCTAAGATGCAAATCCATTTGCAATCTTTGATGGGCTGCAAATAAAAAGAGGTTGAGCTAATCAGGTTCTTCCTAAACATGTTTGCATTTTACTATTATGTGGCAAAGCAAGTGAAAAAAGTGGTTTTGCAAGAAGGAGAAAAGCAGGGCAAAACCAAGACTGACCCTAGGACGGACCAGGTTGTAAGACTTTGGACAAAGTATATCTTCTACAGTTTATACCGTATTTCATTAGGTGACACCTGGTGACGGTGAACCTCAAAGTGAACAGTAACCTGCATTTCTGAAACAGGCTACAACTACAGCCAGCAATATAAATGAAAATATAATGACGTCGTGGTGTAAAATCATCGTCTGCGTCCTGCTTATGGAAATGGGTCAAGCCAAGTCTGAGTAGTGTCAGTAAAAGGTGATATTAAGTCAGAGAGACTAACTAGAGAGCTGTTTTTGCGGTAGAAAGCTGAGCAAAGTAGGGCAAGGTGGCTCAGAGCAATCCGTGATCTCTGGCGGGAAAAGTCTATAGTGTAATCAAGGAACGGAGGCAGAATCTAAGGTAGGAGGCCAAGTCGTATGCTTGTGGCCCAATAAAGAAATAAAATCAGGAGCTAAGAGGTTAGGAATCAGTTGGAACAGAAGAGCAAAGATGGCTTACCCCCATAGCTGTGAAACGTCGGGGAGTTGGAAGTTATGTCTATGTGATGTTGATTCTGTGACCTGAGATGATCCTGACCATGTCAGGAGACCCCTGGGAACAAACGTGATGATCAAATTCAGATAATTTAAAATATCACATACATGCGCATCTTCATGTATTGTTCCATTGGAAAATGTGTCTCCCCGGAACAGCATTTCCTGAAAACCGATGTTCGAAGCTATTAACTTGATACAGTTCTTTATTTATTTTCACATCCAAGTTCAGGCATTACTCAGAAATTTGTTCCTTTTGCCAATATATACTGTAAGCCTGTTATAGATACAACTTTTATACACATCATGTATTTAGAGGAGCCAAGATATAAATATAGTGAAGAAAATAGCCAGCATGATTTCCTGCATTATCTGAGATGATTGTCTCATTTCAAAGCCTACATTTCAAAGCCACATCAACTTTGAATCTGGGCCCAGACTTGCCTGACTCTGTTGCATTAACTCTATTTCCATTGTCTCAATATAACATGTGAGACAGAAAACAAATTTAAATTGTTCAGTGCCCCCTGGAATCTTTCACTCCTGGCCCAGCACACAATGTTCTATTCCATGGTGAGAGGAGAGTTAACCACGGTTATAACAAAGCACCACTAGGAAGAGAAATCTGAACTATTATTTAATTTCTTGTCATTGATAAAGCTTATCACTTTGCTTCCCTAATAAGTAGAAGCAGCATTTTCACCCACGTGTTTAAGTCATTGATTCAGAAACCTTTCTGGTGAGTCCCTTCTAATGTGTCAGGGATCATGTTCCGTGCTAAATACACAGTTCTGAACAGAATAGACAATCTGCACCTATGTATATATCCATATAAATTAAAAATTAGAGACAGATTCTATAAAGGACACACATATAGGATTGAACGTAATGGGGTGGAGGAAGGACAAAAAGGAGCTCAGACAAGCCGATCCAAGAGACCATGTTGAGTAAAAGATCATCATTCAGCTTGGCCCAGCTTGGTCCTGTCCTGCCCACTTAACGACATTCCTCCAGCCTAGTTCTTATCAGATGTTTATGTCATCTTAGACAACCTGTCGGGACAATATTGATGAGAAGAAAATACACGTCGGTTCTATTTCTTACATATCCCAGTTGCTGCTCTACCTGCTGCTTTTGTTTTGTTTTGTTTCTTTCACCTCTGGCCTGGACCAAATAGATTTCTTAAACTGCTGCTCTTCTAGAAAGACATTCTCTCTCGTCTTAAAGATAAATCTTATCACATATCACATATGAGTGGAAAGCTCAGAGGTAGACCTTGGGAAGGATCCAAGTCATAGTCGCGACTCTTCAGGAGACTGGAAATAGGAGCAGATGCTATATGAAGGTGTGCTCCTGGCATAGAATATAAAAGATAGTGGTTTGGTTGGAAGAATACCACCTCAAAAGTTGGACAACAGACTTTGATGCTTCACTGATCCATGGGTACCCTGAAAGGGTACATTCCACATGTGCTAGCTTGTCCAGGGATCTTGGCCCTAGTAACTAATCTCTTCCTCTCTGTTGCCGCAAAGACCACATCTCCTGTCTGGAAATGGATGATTATGTGACATTTCCTTATTTGGGTCTACATCCATGCCCTTCATTTCCCCTGAGTTACCATAAGCTTTCCTAAAATTTATATGTCTTTCCATTTTGGCACTGGAGATCTCTCTGTCGTTTGTACTCAGCTTTGTATTATTATTATTATTAATTATTTACTTTATCAGCATTTAAAAATATTTTTAGGGATATCTGTGTGGCTTAGTCAGTTAACAATGAACCTTTGGCTCTGAGTCCCACATCGGGCTTCTTGCTCAGTGGGGAGCCTGCTTCTCCCTCTGCCTGCCACTCCCCCTGCCTGTGCTCATTCTGTCTCTCTCTCTCTGTCTAACATTAATAAATAAATAAATAAATAAATAAATAAAATCTTTAAAAGAAAAACCCTCCCTTTAAAAAAAATTAAAAAATAAAAATATTTCAGCAGTGGAATCTGGTGGTAAGATGGGAGTTACAGATGGTTGTTGTCTATATCAGTTCAGTCTGCCTTGTGATTATAAACCAGGGAAAAAAAGCAGTCTGAAAACCTTGAACTTTCCTTTCTTCAGAGTAAAATAGTAATAATGATGCCAGTCCCACAGATGTTAGCATAAAATTATTTCTTGCATGTGAAAGAGCTTGAAATATTGTGAAATCCTATGCAATAATAAGAAAGTGTAAATATTATAATTTACAACCACATCGGATTAACTCCTACCACTCAACAAGGCCCACAGGAAATAAGTGTTTTATTAGAAACAAAGTTGATTTTTTTCCAATCTATGGGCAAACTGAGTGGTGCTGCAGGCTAATCTGAGAAACACAGGGCCCTACATTGCCAGGGGAATGGTTTGTAATAAAAGAGATGGACGCCAAGAGAAAGATGGCAGGTTTCTACAGACGTTGTCTACAAAGTGACCCTAGAGGACCTGTCCTTGCCAACAAACTATCACAACTGAAATCACATCAAGTAACATATATCTCTGAATTTTGGTGTTCAAAATATATCATGAGACACAGTAGCTCCTAAAAATAGACTGAGTGTGCCTTAAACAGTGAGTGTGTCAGAGTGGAATTTAGAAGTTAGGAAGTTAACATTTGAAAACTGGTAGGTATTTGTGGGGGTAATGAGTGTAGCCTGGGAGGATGGGGAGAATCAAATCAAAGAAAGAACAATCGGAACCACATGTAAAAGTTGTCCTCTCTCTTTTCCGTAGGACTCACAGCTGAAGGCAATGAAGGAGACTGTGCATCTCTGCCTGTCCACCGTGTTCCGTAATCAGGCTCCTCCTTTGAGTCTAATGAGGCCAAGTCCAACTCAGCTGCCACTTCTACCTGGGACAGTTAGCCCTGTGATTCCTGATGCAAGTTCAAAATTCCAGGTACACTTCAGTCATGCTTTGAAAGTAGAAGCAAGTAAAGCACTGTCTTTATACTCCATTCTACATGATCATCAGAGTGGACAGAGTAAGACACCAAATTCATTGAAAGATTAGGAAGTAAATGGAAGGCACTAACCCTTTGTAAAGTATCCGTTGTCACTTAGAGAACATTGGACAACAATGTTTGTTTTATTTTTGTTTTGTTTTTTAATTTTTTTTAAAGATTTTATTTATTTATTTGATGGAGAGAGAGAGATCACAAGTAAGCAGAGAGGCAGGCAGAGAGAGAGGGAAACAGGCTCCCTGTTGAACAGAGAGCCCAATGCGGGACTCCATCCCAGGACCCTGAGATCATGACCTGAGCCAAGAGCAGAGGATTAACCCACTGAGCCACCCAGGCGCCCCAACATTTGTTTTAGAGAGCCAGCTGCGTGTTAACCAGAATTGCCTAATTACAAGAATAATAATTATTATTCTAAAATAATCTAAAATTATTTTAAAATAACATTTTAATAGTACTATTTCAATTTATAATCATCATGACTTAATAATAGAATCTTATCATATAATTTAATACGATTATATTACTAATCCTATTTTAATAATAACGATAGCTTTGTTTTATAATTAATTAAAGAAAGCATCTTCTATTACATACCAGTATATACCAGAGGTTTCAACATGGAAAATACTTTCTCCTAGGGTATAACGGTCATCCTTACAAAAGTGGATACTTTTTTAAAAACTTAAGGCCACAGTTTTCAACATTTCCTGCATATGTGACTCTCTCAGGATACTTTAAGAAAATCCTGACACTTGGGACTCACCTCAAACCTATTAAATTCTTTCTGATTGGGCTCTAAGTCATTAGTAGTTTTTAAAAGCGCCCTAAGAGGTGCACCTGGGAGGCTCAGTGGGTTAAGCCTTTGCTTTTGGCTCAGGTCATGATCCCAGGGTCCTGGGATCGAGCCCCACATCGGGTTCTCTGCTCTTCAGGGAACCTGCTTCCTCCTCTATCTGTCTTTCTGCCTGCCTCTCTGACTACTTGTGACCTCTGTCAAATAAATAAATAAAATCCTTAAAAAAAATAAAAAAACAAACAAAAGCTTCCTAAGAGATTCTGAGACCAGGTGAATCAAGCAAAACTTCCTCAATTCCCACCACCTTTCTACATTAGACCGGGCAGTGGGGAGTTTTGTCATTCTGTGCTTCAGTCATCAGAACCTTCCATTTACTGGCTCTACGTTTAAATAAACCCAGACACTCTGAAATAGTTACTGAAGAAAGTGTAGCTTCGTGCAGTATATTTGAAAGTGCTGGCTCTCTTGCCTTAGGACCACTGGCTGTTAAAGTGAGTGTTCCGGATGCCAGTCCCACGTCTGCTGCAAACTCTAACAATGGTGGGCCCAGAAGCACCTGAGAACCACTGACGCAGTTACCCAGTGATACACTACTGTGGGACTTCCTTACTGCTTATTCTGATTCCCTACACTGGAATAAAACAAATTTGTGCATCTGTGCACAAACGGCAGTTTAGAGAAATACTATTTTCAGAGTCAAAACCAAGAGGAAAAAAAAATGTAATGTGTTTTTACTGATGACTAATCAAGGTATGAACTGCACAGATTTAGTCTGTATAATCTCATGTTTCACTGTCAAAAGTCACTTAAAATATATATATATTTTCATTTGATCTTACTCTCTTTATACTCTGTACCTAAGATCTCTAGAAATGTTTAGGCCAGTATTTTTCTCCTTTATTTTTTCCTCCTGCCTCTTTGGAAACTCTAGGTCTAAAGGGTTTGTTTGCTTTACCAAAGGCAGGGAAGAAAGTTGCATAATAATGTATTTGTTATGTTTAGAAAAAGTCATGAAGAAATCCATTGACACTGGTCACTGGTAAAATGCCAAGCTTCTCACACAGTGTCACGCGCCCGCCGGGAAGCCACACCCTGCCTCCTTAGTTTTGGTCTAAGAGAGGAGCAAAGGTTCAGCCTTATTAAGTCTGATGACTTTGGGCAAAGCACTTTGTAATTCTAGGGGCACGCAGGACACCTATCTCCAACTCAAAATATGTTTGTTTAGGCCCAATTAAAACTGGGCTCTTGATGACCCTGGTGGAGGGATTACTGATTGTTACTTTAATGGATTTCCTATGAATAAATGTATGTCCTGTCCTTGAAATAAATAATAAATATTTATTATTTCCCTTTGCTTATCAGAGAAAAATGTAGGAAGCATTTAGGTGAGGCTGGTTTAGAAATTGCTCATTTCTCAGAAAGCAATAACAGAAAAATCCAATTGTTTAAGATAAAGTTCAATAAATCTCAGTTGATGTACTATAGAGCATTCTATTTTATGGATTAGCATTAAAAGCTTCTCTAGTGTTTATGATTTGCCTGCATTCTTTATCTTTTCATTAGTGGTGGAAATTGTATTTTATGTATACTTGGGGTTTCGGCTGTATGCCGGCGCTTCAGAAAACATTTTTAAAATCCTGGATAATGTGATGTGATGTGGGGTGTGAGTAAGAGAGACCCTTCCATCACGGAATCTTTTTTTCTCTGTGCATGAAAAAAGGAACTTTTAAATGAGGACATTTAATGGGTACACCTTCAGAGTTGGCTAATTACAGCTGCAGTGACATGATATGTCTGCCCATAGCTGTGAGGGGATCACATCTCTTACCCTCCCTGTGCCTCAGTTTCCTCAAGCCCCTGTTAGAGTGTTGTTGTGGCATGAACATTACAACTGATAACTCCCCCTGTTTTCATTAGATTACTATTGGTCTCATCTACTTTCATTTTTTTTTTTAAGATTTTATTTATTCATTTATTTGAGAGAGAGAGAGAGACAATAGTGAGAGAGGGAACACAAGTAGGGGAAAAAGGAGAGGGAGAAGTAGGATCCCCACTGAGCAGGGAGCCCAATGCAGGGCTCGATCCCAGGACAATGGGATCATGACCTGAGCCATAGACAGACACTTAATGACTGAGCCACCCAGGCACCCCTTCATTTGGTTTCTTAAATCTTCAACTCTTGAATGGTTTTCCCTGAAATCCCTGAAACACAGCCAAGTAAGCAATTTTCAACTCACATCTGGAAGAAAGACAAAATACCCACATACCATGCTCCGCCCCCTATAATGTCATTCTATTTTTCCTAAAGAAGGTTTGGTATGCAGTCAAAATTTTCATTGTGTTGTTCATATGTGTAAATGTATATGTGTATACATGCATACATACATACATACACACATTATTACATTAAATATGTGTGTATGTATATAACACACACATTTGTGTATATTTCACTGTGGATTTTTTTTTTAAGATTTTATTTATTTATTAGAGAGAGAGAGAGAGAGAGCACAAGCAGGCTGAGGCAGAGAGAGAAGCAGCCTCCCTACTGAGCAAGGAGCCTGATGCGGGACTCGATCCCACGACCCAGGGATCACGACCTGAGCCAAAGGCAGCAGCTTAACCAACTGAGCCACCCAGGCGCCCTTCATTGTGGATTTTAATAGCCACAGTTTTACCTAGGCGGGGAGTTCAACATTATAAGAGTCTACTGACAAAAACTTAATTTATATATTGGTAACCTTTACTTTTTAAAAAAAAAATTATTTATTTGAGAGGGAGAGAGAGTGTGTGAGAAGGGGTAGGAGCAGAGGGAGAGAGAGAGAGAGAATCTCAAGCAGACTCCCCTGCTGAACGCAGAGCCTGGATGCAGGGCTCCATCTCATGACCCTGAGATCATGACCTGAGCTGAATCAAGAGTCACTGAACTGACTGAGCCACTCAGGTGCCCCTGGGAACCTCTACCTGTTTTTATTGATTCTGGAGGATGCTTCTTGTATGACCTTCGAGTCCTACAGCTGAAGTTTCTGCTAAGGACCCGCAGTCAGGTCCGTCAGCCTCCCTTCCTTCATCATAGTCTCCATGTTGTTATGTTGCTTCTTTCTAATTTGAGTGAATTCTTTCCTACCCTCCAAGTTCTTTTTCTATTCTCAGGGCTCTGACAGCACAGTGTTTATCCCTCACAGCTCCTGGTCATACCATGAGTATAATGATGGCCGCATGCTCCTCTCTCCTTAAAGGAGACGGCTGTGCTTAGCTCCTTGGTTTGTTCCCATGATTCACTGCCCAGAATGATGTTTCTGCAGAATTCATTTGAAATGATACTTGCCGTATTTCTGTTTTGGTCAGTTTGGGCTCTTATAACAAAATGCCATAGACTAGGCCACTTAAACAACAGACACTCATTTCTCCCAGTTTGGAGGCTGTGAAACCCAAGGTCAAGGTGCTCCCAGATTTAGTTCTTGATGAGGGCCCTCTCCCTGGAAGGTACACAGCCTTTGGCTGAGTGCTCACTTGGTCTTTTTTAGATATGTGTGACTGGAAGGAGATCTCTCTCTTTATATTTTTTATAGGAGAGCAAGAATCCCACCATGAGGGCCCCATCATCATGACTTAATCTAAACCTAATTACCTCCAGAAAGCCCAGCTCCTAATAGCTTCATACTGAGAGCTAGCGCTTTAACATAGGAATTTTAGATGATACAGATGCTCAATCCATAGCATTGTCCCTCTTATTGGATATTTTCCTTATTTAGAAGTTAGAAAATATATATTATTGAATGCTCATTAAGTGCTTAGTATTCAAATAAATTGTTTTCCGCCTGTATGCTAGGACCATGCTCATCAGTGGGATGCAAGTTTGAAATCACACGACCTTTTGGACACTGATTGAATTCCCTGTAAAAAGAAAACAAGAGAAAAAAATGCAAGAGTTGTGTGGTAAATCAGAACTTTTTTTTTTTTTTTTTTTTTTTTGTATTTGGAATTTCATATTCCAAATAGCTTTGATTGAAGATAAAGACTAAAGAGACCTGGATCCAAGGGCACATGAGATGATGTCTTTGTTATGAGAGTATATATTTATTATGTAGAAAATTTCATTCCAACAGAGAGGTAAAGAGCAAAGGTAGAAGCCAGGAA